TATATATATTCGTGCATGTGTGTGTATATGTGTGTATATATATGTGTGTGTGTGTGTGTGTGTGTTTAACACATGTGAACAAATTCATGTGAGTCATGATGTATCCACCTGTGGAGGTCGGAGGGCAACTTTTGGGCATCAGTTCTCTCTTGTCACCATGTGTGTCTTAGGAATGAAACTCAGGCCATCAGGCTTGGCTGCAAGCATCTTTATCCTCTGAGGCATCTCTGCTGCTCCTTTAATGCCCCCCTTTAAAGATGTATTTATGTGTGTTTGTGTGTGTGTGCGGCTGTGTCTGTGCACGTGAAGACAATCCTTGCAGCATCCAGAAGACAGTATCAGATCCCCAGGAGACAGAGTAACAGGAGACTGTGAGCCACCCCAACATTTATGTTGGGAACTGAACGTGGGTCTTCTGTCATAGAAATAAGTGTGTTTAACTGCTGAGCCACCTTTCCAGCCTGCTTTATTATTATTTATTTTAGACAAACTCACTGTGTCGAACATGCTTTGTAGACCAGACTGGACTTGAACTCTCGGGATTTGCCTGCCTTTGTTTGTGATGGAATTAAAGGGGTTTGTCACTACCAGGCTTGCCGCAATCTACCTTTGTCGTTGAGGATGACCTTGAGCTCCTGATTTTCTTGCCTCCACCTCAGAAGTGCTAGGATAACGTGTGCTCTACCATGCCAGGTTTATGTGCTGCTGGGCATGGAACCCGGGGTTCCTGCATGCCGGGAAAGTATGCTACAGCCACAGCCTGAAAATTTATATTTTATCCCTTGATCTCAGCCAAAAGGCTGAGGAGGCATGGACATTCTATTTTTTTTTTTTTTTTTTGAGACAGGGTTTCTCTGTATAGCCCTGGCTGTCCTGGAACTCACTCTGTAGACCAGGCTGGCCTCGAACTCAGAAATCCACCTGCCTCTGCCTCCCAAGTGCTGGGATTAAAGGCGTGCGCCACCACTGCCTGGCTGGACATTCTATTCTTCTGACAAGAGACACAGCCCAAGCTGGCCTTGAACGCACCATCTTCTGGCATCTACCTCCCTCTCACTGACACGATATGGATCAGGTACCAACGACCACTGTAATATGTATCCATTTCACAGGTAGCAAACTGAAGTCAGAGAGGTTGATCTAGCCCAGTCACACTTTGAGCAGTAGTCACACTTCTTAGGCCTGCTGCTCAAGGCCTTGCTGGACCTGATTCTTCTATCACCTCCGCTCAGCTCCTCTCCCTGCTCCATTCTTGCCCTGAGCCAATCTCACACCAGGCCAGATTGAATTCAGGGTCCTTTACTGTAGGTGTTTTGCCTGGCTCCAGGCCTTGGCCTGTGCTCTCTAAGCCTGCTGTGTGATGGTACTTTCCTTCCTCACCCAGCATGTGAAGTGAAATGAATGTGGCAGAGAGAACCAGAGGGCTGTCTCCAGGCTTCCAAATCTAGTATTTGGAAGGGAAGGGGTTCATGGGGGGTCACCTGGAGGAAATAATCAGGACCTCATCTCCTGTCCTTACTTGGCTTTTGTTTTAAAACACACCCAAGCTGTACAGGAGGGCCATTGGGTAAGTGAGGTTAGATTTTCCTCTGCAGAATTCTCCAAGCCTGAGGGGGAATGGCTGAGAGAAGAGAGGCAGAGCCTTCCTGGACTTACTCAGCATCTGGGGAAGGTGTGTCCCCCAGCTCCATGCCACCTTCTCCTCAGCCCCATATCTGGTTTTGGAGACCACAATGATTCCTAATAAGAAACAAACTACTAAGAGGCTGGTGCTGAGTCTCGGTTGGTAAAATGCTTGTCTGCCATGCACAAAGCCCACTGGTCCACCTGCATCGCTGACCCCCATACTTTCTGGTTCTGTAAAAATCAAGCATACACTTTCCTGCCTTGTTCAAGTTGGGGCCTGCAGAAGGCAGCTGGACAGTGAGAATCAACCGTCCCTCCCATGGCTCTGGCTCTGATTTTGGTGGCATTCTGCAGGGGAGCACACTTCTGTCCCTTGGCAAGGCCCAGCCCTGCCTTCCAGAGAGTGGGCACAGCATGGGTGTGGCAGCCTCTGTGCCTGAGGATCATTTGTAGAACAGGCTGGGTAGGTGAACAGCCTAGACAAGCCTGGGGGCAGGCTGTAGCAGGACTGCGGGGGCCAGGGCTGGTTTCTAGCTGTATCTATGGGTGGGAGTGGGAATTGGGTGTGGTGTTATGAATGCCTGAGGTGCAGTTGTCACCCTTCCTCATTCCTCTGTTGGGATACAGTGGTGGCCAATAGTACCATGCTCAAAAGTACAGGATTCCTGCTGTATGCACAGTCAGTGTCCAGGTAGCAAATCCTGAAATCTCTATTTCAGTAGCCTCCAAGTGACTGACTCTGGCCATATTCCACACACGTTGCCTCAACTAAGTTAAATTATAAAAGGCAGGGGTCCATAACCGTCTGGGAAACCGTGCAGGCCTACTGATTCTCAAGATCGAAAGGTTTGCTTTGTTTTGTTTTGTTTTGTTTTGTTTTGTTTTGTTTTGTTTTGTTCTGTGTTAGAATTCAGTAGCCTCTCTCTCTCTTTCTTTCTCTTTCTCTCTCTCTCTCTGTGTGTGTGTGTGTGTGTGTAGGTCAGAGGACAGCTCTCTGGAATTGGCTCAACTCAGGTCGTCAGGTTTGGTAGCTGGCTGAGCCATCTGGCAGACCCACAGCAAACACTTTAAACACTTCTGCCAGCTGAGCTATCTCACTGGCCCAGGCTCAAAAGTTTTAGGTGTCTCTGAAGAATAAGGAGGTCAGTAGGGCTGAGACTGACAGGGTTAGGGTGTATAGATATCAAGACGTGGGGCTGAGTGTGCTACTTAGCCTGAGGGACGTAGGGAACCATGGCTGGCTTTGGAGCGGGACAGAGGCCAATCTCAGTGGCAACAAGTGTGAAGTGAAAATTAGGGACAGAAGCATGGGTGGTCAGTGTATCTCCTGACATCTGTCCAGATCACTGCAGTATGCGACCCAGGGTCCTAGTCTATGGGAAAGGAAGCGAGGTGTCTGCAGGAGTGGAGGGCTCTGGGCCTGGGACCAATGGCCACCAGCGGGCCGGAAGAGTCCCACCGTGCCTGGTAGGGCTCACTGGAGGTGATATTGTCGCCTGGGAGGTGTGAAGCAGAACCTCCCACACTGCTTCCCCTTTGATACAGAAGGCCATTTGTCAAGCGCCTACTGTTACCAGGCGAGCCCGGGGATTCATTTCTCAAGCACCCCGGACCCCTCCCCCTAAATGCCTGGTCTTTGATTTGTGAAGAACCAAACACCTAAGGCCCGACCCATACATCTCATTGGCTATGCTGTCGGGCGCGTGGTTTCGATTGGTTAAAACTGGTAGGAGCAGTTCTGCCCACTAGAACAGCTGGATCTGGCTGGAGCCACAGGGGTCTACATTAGAGAGCTCTCCCAAGGGGTTCAACGGAAGCGTGACCTACCTCTCCTGGGACATTTCGTCAACAACTCTAGACTCATTCTCTATGACTTCTCCGTAAGTCTTCCAATATGTACTCACCTCTCACCCCGCGCCCCCCCACAGCTGGCCAGCTGGGGCTGGAGTGACCCTGGGCAAAGGGTATGGTCCCTAGGAAGATCAATCAAACAGTCACCAGAAACTGGGCTGTGGGCACTAAGGTTGTGTTCTAAGGTTGGAAGAGCTGGGCCCTGGCAAGAATCTCTTGGGAATTAAAGGGGTAGGCGGGGGAGGGGGCGGGTAGTGGCAGCTGAGACTGACCTGCTGAAGGAGTGGCCTGGGAGAGGCGTAGGAGAGCGACACAGACCGCGTGAAAGAGAGACACACACAAAGACACAAGGAGAAACAGATACCAAGAGTCAGAAAGACGGATCACTGCAGAAAGCACACTCATGACCTGAGTTCAATCCTGGAGATCCACAAGGGGGCTGTGGGGGAGAAAACCAACTTCGACATACACATGACACAGTACACACAGGCATACACACACAAATACATAAACAAGCATAATTTTAAGAAAAATTTAAAACCAGGAATGGTGGCGCACGCCTTTAACCCCAGCATTCAGGAGGCAGAGACAGGCAGATCTCTGAGTTTGAGGCCAGCTACAGAGCAGTTCCAGGACAGCCAGGACTACACAGAGAAATCTTGTCTCCAAAATAAAAAAAAAGAAAGAAGGAAAGAAAGACATTTTAAGAGAGACCCTAGGGGAGAGAGAGATAGCTGGTAGACGTTCATTTATCATTTATTACCTTACGCATTCAGAAGTGTTTATTGGCCATAATCTGTGCCCAAGACAGCCTCAAATCCCTGACGCCAGAAACACAAGTGCTGTATTTCATGGTTTAGATCCTAAAGGTTGAAAGAAGTGGGGCGGAGACAGAGAAGCGGTTGGACAGGAGGAGTCAGATCCTACGTATTTGGGGACCTGGAAGTTCCCTTCACCTCCACTTTCCCTCTTGTACTCACCCCTCCCCCGTCCCGCCCCGCAGAATAATCGGAAAGTGGGGAAAGGCCCGGTGCTGCGGAGCAGAGGAGACCTGACCCCACCCGGTGAGGACCAGAAGACTCCAGCAGCCGCGCCCACTAAAAGTAGCTCTTAAATTGCTCTGCCCAGGTACTGCGCCCTTAAGGTGTCTTTGGAATGCAGGCTCAGGGGTTCAGACATCAGAGGACAGACAGGACCGACCCCTTATCTGGAGTAGGAGAGTGATTCACCTAGAAAAGCCCTCTCTTTCCTGCGATTCTGGGCCCTCCCACCCCGAGTGTCCCTGGGAGGGGACCCGAGAGAGAAGCTAGGACTTGCTGGTACCAGTCGCCGCTGAGGCGCTCTCCGGTGCCGCGGCGAGTGGCACAGGCTGGCAACCCCGGGCTGGGAGAAGGAGGGGGCAATTGCTGGCTTTCGCCGGCACTCGGCGTAGTGGGCCCGCCCTTAGGCTTGCCACTTCCAGCCCCGCCTTCCCCCCACCCACCCCCCACCTACCCCACCCCCAGTTGCAGTCGTCCAGTGTTCCCAGGCGGACTGCCTAGGGCGCACGACCGGACCTAGGCGCAGGGGTGAGTGTCCAGCAGTGGGGGGAATTGCTGGAAGTGGGACTTGGCTCCTTGGAGAGACTGCAGGGCTGGAAAGGCACAGCGCTCCTTGCTGGGGTTTCTAGATCCTTTATGGGACTCCCAGCAGAGAAAACTGCAAACTTCAGGGGTAATCGCAGGCCCCCTGCCTGAAGGGAGTGGGGACCCCAGACACCCTCCAGCTCAGCTTGGTTGGGCTCCTTCAAACATTTCCTAGTATCATTTCCAGGCATGTCAGGTCACTGGGGGTGTTGGTACAAAAGTCCTACCCTCTCCTGAGTGAACCAAGCAGAGAAAGCAGTTAACCTGCTTCTCTGTATTTGATGCCTCTCTGGCACAAAGTGGCCCAGTACCTCCAAGTCTGTCTGTACTACTCTGAAACTGTCTGGGACCTCTTTGTTTGTCCCTTTGCCTTCCAGGTACTGAGAGATCTGTCTCCCGGGCTTGGGTTTCCTCATCTTTGAAGCAGAGAGTCCTGGGAATGGTGTCACTGTTTTTGTGAGACTGTCTTTGTGTAAGAGATGGACACTTTTGGGTCTACCTCTATGTAAGGCATTTCTCTGGAGCCTCGTTCTGTTCATGTGTGAAATGGGACTAAGAGGGGCTCAGGATTTGGGTCACTTGGTAGAAGGCTTGCCTAGTATGCAGAGAGCCCAAGGATTCATGTCCAGATAAATTGAGTTGTGGCATGTTCCTGTGACCTCCAAACTCAGGAGATAATGCAGGAGGATCAGAAATTCAACATAATTGTCATCCACATAGTTTGAGGTCAGCCTGGGGTACTTGAGGTCTTCTTCTTCTTCTCCTTCTTCCTCCTCCTCTTCTTCTTCTTCTTCTTCTTCTTCTTCTTCTTCTTCTTTTTAAAATTGTGTTCAAGGCTTCTATGAAGGGCATTTCTTTTTGCAAAAAAAAATTCAGGGCATGGTGGTGTGTGTATGTGTCTTTAATCCCAGCACTTGGGAGGCAGAAGCAATTGGCTGGCTCTCTGTAAGTTTCAGGTCAGCCTGGTCTATATAGACCCAGGCCAGCAGGGTTGCATAGCAAGACTGTCTCAAAAACAATTTATTTTAAAATCGCATTTACTTATGTGTGTTGGTGGGTGGGTGGGACTGTGAATGTGTGCATGCCACAAACACTGCTAACGTGAGGGTCTGAGGACAGCTTGTGAGGCTGGTTCTCTCTTTACACTGTGTGGGTTCCAGACTTGAGTGGGCGCTCCCTTCCCCACCAAGCCGTCTTGCCATCCTTCCCAGGTATTTTTTAGGAACCTGTTTTTGTTTATCTGTAAATTGGGACTAAGGGAGGAATTGCTGAGAGGATTAAAGGGTAGGTGGCTTTTAGAAGAGTCATTGTGACTTAATGACATGTGTGTCTCTATTGAGGACCTCTGACTCTGTGCAATGAGTGACCAGAATCAACAGTCTCACTGGCACTTTGAGGAAACAACTTTTTTTTTCTTGTTGTTTGTTGGTTTGGCTTTGTTTTTCGAGACAGGGTTTCTCTGTGTGGCCCAGACTGTCCTGGAACTAACTCTGTATCTGTAGACCAGGCTGGCCTCTAACTTACAGAGATCCACTTGCCTCTGCCTCCCAAGTGTTGGGATTAAAGGCATGCACCACCACCACCTAGCAACATTAAAAAGAAAAAAAAAAAAAAAAAAGGAAAGCCCTGTGCATTTCTCATGTGGTATGGGGCATTGGGCCCCAGGCTGCTTGTGGGTGGAGGTTGTGAAATTGTGCTACTGGGTGTGAGACCATTCTCAGGGTTGAGCTCCTGTGGTGGCTTCTGTCGCTGAATCTGCATGTGAATGTTTCATGTGGAAATGTACTCTCAAGTTTCCCTACACTTGGTTACCAGAGATTGTGCATTTTTGGGAGTGAGGAGGAAGCCAATGCTGGAATCAGAGCTCAGGGCCACCTGAGCATGTTAGGTCCCCAACCAGGCCAGTATGTCTGTGTCCTATCTGTGTGGAGCCCCCTTCCTTGTTTGGTGTCCCTATATGTGGTTGTCTGTGTAGTGGTGATTTTCAGAATTCTTGTTTGTTTATGAGTGTGTATGCATCTGAATGTGCCTCTGCTTTCGTGTTACAATGATTCCTTTTTATTTTATTTAATCTTGACACAGGCTCTCGGAGCCCAAGTTGACCTCAAACTTACTATGTAGTTAATGATAACCTTGAAGTCCTGATTCCCCTCTGTCAATAGCTGGTGGACAGGTGTGCACCAAATGCCCAGCTTACTCCCCCCAGCTTTCCAATAGCCACTCTCCCTTGTCTGTTTCTGGAGTGCTGGATTACAGGAGCATGGTCACCATGGTTAGCTGTTTTCTTTTAAACCAAATACTTTACTAACTTCTATTTGTTTATGTTGTGTGTTGTGTAGGTCAGAAAACAACTTTCAGGAGTCACTTGTCTCCTTCCACTATGTAGGTCCTGGGGACTAAACTCAAGTCATCAGACTTGGTGGTAGGCACATTTACCTGCTGAACCTTCTTCCTGGGATGTTGTTGTTGTTGTTGTTGTTGTTGCTGCTGCTGCTGCTGCTGCTGTTGTCTTGGTTTTGGATATTTAGCTCAGGCTGGCTAGCCTAGAAGTCACTATGTAGCTAGGGCTGCTTTGCTTCTAAAGGTGTCTCCTTCTTCTTCTTCTTCTTCTTCTTCTTCTTCTTCTTCTTCTTCTTCTTCTTCTTCTTCTTCTTCTTCTCCTTCTTCTTCTGTTCCCATATATCCCCATGCACAGATGCCAAGCAGAGGGATCGATCCCTCGGTGCTGAAGCTGCAGGCGATTTTGAGTGTCTAATGTGGGTCCTGAGAACTAAACCTGAGTCCTCTGGGAATAGTGGCAAGAGCGTTTAGTCTCTAAGCTATCTCTCCAGACTGAGGCTTTTTCTGAACTCCTGAGCCTTTGCCTCTGCTTCCCAAATGCTGGAACTACAGGCCTGAGACACCATGATGACAGGCTGGTCCTTCCGGATAGTCTCTGTGTGGAGTGTCTATATCCAGACACTCCTCCTCGGTCCTAAACCTTCTCCAGACCTCCTCAGAGGGCGTGGTGGGGAGGCGCGGGGATTGGGGACCCTCTTCCAGGGCTCTTTCTTCAGGATTCCTAGATCCTGACTGTCCTTGCCTCCTGTAGACTTTTGCACAGTGCTTCTGTGGACAACCGCCAGGACACAGCAGCGACATCTCCGCGGCGGGCGGCAGACAGCCCATGGAGCCCGGGCTGCTGCGGCCAGCGCCGGTGAGCGAGGTCATTGTCCTTCACTACAACTACACCGGCAAGCTCCGCGGGGCGCGCTACCAACCCGGCGCCGGCCTGCGGGCGGACGCCGTAGTGTGCTTGGCTGTGTGCGCCTTCATTGTGCTGGAGAACCTGGCTGTGCTCTTGGTGCTGGTCCGCCACTCTCGCTTCCATGCGCCTATGTTCCTGCTCCTGGGTAGCCTCACCTTGTCGGACCTGCTCGCCGGGGCCGCCTATGCCACCAACATCCTGCTATCCGGGCCGCTCACGCTGCGCCTGTCTCCTGCGCTCTGGTTTGCGCGCGAGGGGGGCGTCTTCGTGGCGCTCTCCGCGTCCGTGCTGAGCCTCCTGGCCATTGCTCTAGAGCGCCACCTTACCATGGCCCGTCGGGGACCCGCGCCCGCCGCCAGTCGCACTCGCACGCTAGCGATGGCGGTGGCCGCCTGGGGTGTGTCGCTGCTGCTCGGGCTGCTGCCGGCGCTGGGCTGGAACTGTTTGGGACGCCTGGAAGCCTGCTCCACCGTGCTGCCGCTCTACGCCAAGGCCTATGTGCTCTTCTGCGTGATGGCCTTCCTGGGCATCCTGGCTGCCATCTGTGCGCTCTATGCAAGGATTTACTGTCAGGTACGGGCCAACGCGCGTCGCCTGCGGGCAGGACCTGGGTCCCGCAGAGCCACCTCGTCCTCGCGATCCCGGCACACTCCGCGGTCTCTGGCCCTGCTCCGCACGCTTAGCGTGGTGCTCCTGGCCTTCGTGGCCTGCTGGGGACCCCTGTTTCTCTTGCTATTACTGGATGTCGCGTGCCCGGCCCGCGCGTGTCCCGTACTCCTGCAGGCGGATCCTTTCCTGGGTCTAGCCATGGCTAACTCGCTGCTGAATCCCATCATCTACACTTTCACCAACCGAGACCTGCGCCACGCGCTCCTGCGGCTGCTCTGCTGTGGCCGCGGACCCTGCAACCAAGACTCCTCCAACAGCTTGCAGCGATCCCCCAGTGCTGTTGGGCCTTCCGGTGGTAGCCTGAGACGCTGCCTGCCACCAACCCTGGATCGCAGCTCTAGTCCATCAGAACACTCGTCTCCCCAACGGGACGGGGTGGACACCAGCTGCTCCACCTGCAGTCCCGGAGCAGCAACCGCCAACCGGACCCTGGTCTCTGCTGCTACAGACTGACGCTTCCCAATCCACTGTCGCCCTTTGCAAGAGCAGACTGACTTGCCAAATAGGCGCATCATCTGTAGGAAATAGCCAATGGATTGACCACCCCATAACGGGAACAGATAAAACTGCACGCCGGCTCTGAGATGGACAATAAGGAAAAGAAGAAAGTGATGGGAAGGCATCCAGGTAGTGATGTAATCTGAGCTGGGAAGCCCTCAAGGAGAGCCACTCAGTGTGGCGGCAGCAGAAACTGAGGAGCAGCAGAGCTGGGTGACAGGAGATGAAAGGGCAGGTTGTAGGGAAATCTTGTTGGTTCTGAGAAGTGGGAACCATAGAGAATTCTAAACAAAGCGGGGACTCTCCTGGATTCAGACCTCCACAGGTGCCCTGTGACTACCGGAGTTCACGGAGGACGGCTGGAAGACGAAGGGATAAAGGGAAGGCTGCAAGTATGCTCAGGACCAGGTGAAGTCTAGATAGAGTGTGCTAAGGGCTGGCAGGACAGTGGCTGGAGTGAGACAGAGCTGTGGAGAAAGGCTAGGTAAGCCCAGGTCCAAAACTTTGGCTCTGGAGACTTAGCCAGATACCAGCTGCCAAACTTCCAGTGTGGACAGGTTCTTCATGCAGATTACAACCACAATAAAAAAACAATTCAAGGAGCTGTCCTTAACTGTGATCTTTCAAAATCTATTTGTTTCTATCCATCCATCTATTTATTTTCCCCAGAAAGCTGTAACTGTCGTCATCTTTTAAAGTGTCTATTTATTGGGGTTGGAGACCTAAGAACACATGTTGCTCTTGCAGGGGACCTGTGTTCCATTCCTAGCACCCAAGTGGTGATTATCAACCATTGGCAACGTCAGTTCCAAGGTATCTGACGCCCTCATCTGACCTTGGAGGGTACCAGGCGTGCGCTCAGTACACAGAATGAATGCAGGCAGAACACTCATACACATAAGCTAAATAAATCTTTTAAAAACGTTTTAAATTGTTTATTTATAGTCGTTTAGAGAACTGCTATGTACTGTGCATCAGTTCCAGATGGCCTGGAACTCCTTCCTGAGTGCTAGAATTCAAGGTCTGTTATTTGGGCTGGGGGTGTGGGGCCTGCCTTTACAGTAACATCAGTTCAGGCCAGCCTGGTCAACATAGTGAGACAGCGTCTTTAAAACTTTTATTTCCAGGGGCTGGAGAGATGGCTCAGTGGTTGGGAGCATCGACTGCTCTTCCAGAGGTTCTGAGTTCCATCCCCAGTAACCACATGGTGGCTCATAACCATCTGTGATGGGATCCGATGCCCTCTTCTGGTGTGTCTGAGGACAGCTGCAGTGCACTCACATACATTAAATTAAAAAAAAAAACTTAAAAAAAAAACCTTTTATTTCCTTCTGTATTCTGTGCCTGTATGTATGGGTATGGGTACCCATGGGCCACAGCAGGAGCGTGGAGGCCAAAGGACAGCTTTCCTCAGTTCGTTCTCTCCTTCCAGCACAGGGATCCTAAGGACCCAACTCAGGCTGTCACTCTTCCAGCAAAAACCTTTATCCCCCGAGGCATATCACTGGCCCCACTATCCCACCCTCGCTGTTTGGTTTGGTTTCTCACTAATTATGACAAACATTCCCTGATTTCCTATGATGAGAAGCTCTCTTAGACTGTTCTTCAGCCTTCCCCAATCAGAGAACAGACTCATCGGACTCGCCCATCCTGCAAATAGTGCCTCCTCACGTCCGCCCCTCCCCCTCATGCCTACTCCCCTCCTCCACACCCCCACCCCAGCAGACAGCATAGGATTTAAACTGTTCATTAAACCTGTCTATGATCTTGTTAACTTCGGCCATGTTCATCTGGACTCGAGGTCCTTGACCCCGGTGATATGGTTGCTCACTGAAGCAGTCTGTGCTACATCCACGTCCATGGACTCCTGTGGTTCTGCACGTCGAGGCTGCTCCTGCGCACTCCAGGTTCAGCACAAGCGCACACCCCCAGCCCCCACACTGAGACGACGCTTCTTGTACCCAGGCTGACTTTAAACATGTTATGAAGCCAAAAAACAACCTTATACTTGTGAATTTTGTTTCCTGTGAGCAAAGGTGTGTCCTGCCACACTTGGCCTATGCTGTGTGGGGACGGAACCCAGAACTCGAAGCAAGAGCTCCACTGAGCTACAGTCCTAGCCCTGAACCTTCATTTGGTAAATGAAGAAACGCTGATTTCCCTTGCCCCAGTGTCTTAGTAAGACTTACCCTTGGGGCCCCCATACAAGAGGGGCCTGCCTGGTTGGTATTCACTGCTCTTAGAGGAGTCTGGCTAGACTAAGACTCTCTTGAAGGTTCTGCATTGTTGCCGGGGAAGGGAGTTGGGTATAGAGCTCTGGTTTGTATCTATAAAAGACTTGCTTTCCGTACCATCCCTAGAAGATCCCCAGACACATTCATGACCCCGGCACTCACTTGCCTGGCTGGTAGACGGGCACGGACACGGTGGGGGTGGGGGTGGTTTGTGTTGTTGTTGTTGTTGTTGTTTTGTGTGTGTGTGTGTGTGTGTTGTCAGGGCATGGGAAAGACGCTGGCTGAGGTTTAAAGTGCCGGGCTCCACCTTGCAGTAGCACTGGGAATTGCCTCGGTTCTGCTTCTGGTCGCTGGTTAAGGTACAGCGCGCGCCCCGGAGGCAATTCTGGTAACTGCAAGCAGCGTGAAAGCGGGTGGTGACAAGGATGAGATCAGGCTAGGACTGCAGGTCAACTTTCATAAAACCGAATCCTTTTCCCTTTCCCCAGAAGTTCCCGAAAAGTTAGCGAGGGGGGGGGTGCAGGGGGGTGAAGGGTAGGGGCACAGTCCGGCTGGCCCCCAGAAATCCTCCTCATAGTTCTTGTATCTTTCCTGGTGTGTTGGTTTGGTGGTTTTACAGTAGTAGGTAACTTAGAGATTCTGATACTAAATTTAGAAAGTACTCAGTTCCCTATTTAAATACTAAATTTAAAAGGCACTGTTGGGACTTACAGAGAACTTCCAGACACATTCTGAGGGAAAATGACCTGAAACGTATTTTTTTTTTTCTTTCCCATTTTGAATTTGGAATAGGGTTTCGCTGGGCGGTTGTGGCGCACGCCTTTAATCCCAGCACTTGGGAGGCAGAGGCAGGTGGATTTTTGAGTTCGAGGCCAGCCTGGTCTACAGAGTGAGTTCCAGGACAGCCAGGGCTACACAGAGAAATCCTGTCTCAAAAAAACAAACAAACAAACAAACAAAACCAAAAAACAAAAAAAAAAAAAGGTGGAATAGGGTTTCACTATGTAGCTCAGGCTGCACTCACTATGTAGCCAAGGATGTCCTTCACTTTTCTGATCATCTTCTTTCAGCTTCCTGGGTGCTGGGATTACAAGTGTGTCCTGTACTTAGCTGCCCTGCATTGTTGTTGTTCTGTTTTGTTTAAATTATTAAGTTAATAGAACAAAATAGGTCTTACTATGCAATCCTGGCTGGCCTGGGACTTGCTATGAGCCCAGCTTGTCTCAAATTCACAGAGATCCATCTGTCTCTGCCTCTTGAGTTCTAAAATTAAAAGTATTTGACACCATGCCTGGCTTTACTTTTTCCCCTCTGACAGAGTCTCACTGTGTAGTCTGGAATGTTCTCAAACATTTAATCCTCTGCTTCGGACTCCCCTGAGGTAAATATCTTTTAAAACTATCCTTTTCTTTGACATTTATTCATTTGTTTTCTGATATAAGGTCTTGCTAGGTTGAGGAGGCTTACTGTGAACTGGAGGTAATCCTCCTGCTTCAGCACCCAGGGGTTACAGATGTGTCACCTCATTATTTTTATTTTTAGATTTATTTCCTTTTATGTACACGAGTACTTTGCTTGTCTGAATGTCTGTGTACCACATTCCTGCATGATGCCCACAGGGGTCAGAAGACAGCACTGGGCCCCCTAGAAGTGGATTTATGGATGGCTGTGAGCCATCACGTGGCTTCTGGGGATGGACTCCAGGTCCTCTACAAAAGCAACGAGTGCTATAAAGCACTTGTCTCTCCAATTCCTTTCGTTGTTGTTTTTTGAGACAGGTTTTCTCTGTGTAGCCCTGGCTGTCCTGGAACTCACTTGTAGCCCAGGCTGGCCTCTGCCTCCTGAGTGCTGGGATTCTAGGTGTGTGCCACCACAGCCCAGCTTTCCAGCTCCTATTTCTAATTTTTTGTTTGTTTTGTTATAGGGTCTCTAACTAGCTCAAGGCTGGCCTCAAACTCTGTGTAGCCCAGGCTGGCCTGGAACTTATTATTTACCCTCAGTGCTGGAGTTATAAGCTATGTCAGCACACCCGGCTTCTGTCTTTACTTTTTTCCTTATGCTGGGGATGAAACTCAGTCTTTTGGACAAGCCAGGTAAGCCCCCTAGTGCTGGGTTCTAGCCTGAGCCTACTGGTTTTTTTTTGTTTGTTTGCTTGTTTGTTTGCTTTAAAGATTTACTTATTTTATGTATATGAGAAAACTGTAGCTGTCTTCAGACACACCAGAAGAGGGCATTGGATCCCATTACAGATGGTTGTGAGCCATCATGTGGGGCTGGGAATTGAACTCAGGACCTCTGGAAGCACAGTCAGTGGTCTTAACGGCTGAGTTGTTTCTCCAAGCCCCCTGAACCTATTTTTTTTAAAATAATAATGTTTTTAACTTTTATGTACATTGATGTTTTTGCCTACACATATATCTGTGTAAGAGCGTGGGATTCCCTGGAACTGGACAGTTGTGAACCATCATGTGGTTGCTAGGAACTGAACTCAGGTCCTCTGACAGAAGAACCAGTCCTCTTAGCCACTGAGCCATCTCTCCAGCCCTGACTCCTTTTGATTTTTATTTTCTTAAATTTCTGAGTGTATGCCTGTGTGTGTGTGTGCGCGTGTGTGGTGGTGGTGGTGGTGGTGAAAAGCGGGGCATTGCTGGGAACTGGAGCTCCAGGCGTTTTTAATCACCTGATGTGCACACTGGGATCCAGACTCTGGTCCTCTGACAGACTTTTTAGCTACTTTTTACTGCTGAGTCATCTCTCTGCCCTTTTGCTTTTTAAATAATTTTGTGACACAAGGTCTCATTGTTATCCAAACTGTCCTTGAACCTGTCATTTTCCTGCCTTAGTATCTAGAATAGCTGAAATGACAGGTCTTCATCTCCAGGTCCAGCCCCATCTTGCTTCTTTTAACTGGCTGTATAGTATTTCACACTACAGAAGTACCACCAACTATTGAGTCAGAAGCCTACAAAAAGATGTAGGAGTTGGGTGAGTCCTTTGACAGCTATACTGCCGTACAATTATAGCTGTGCATGTATGAATGAGCCTTGGTAAATCTCCACAGCCAGCTCACAGGGCTGATAGACTTGACTTTGAGAGATAGAAATTGTGGTCTTAGCCAGCAGGGCAGGAATTCAACACCTACAACACCATAGCTGAGTCTGATGAGACGCCACCTCTGGAGAAGCCTGGAATTGCAGCTTTAGTTCCAAGTTCTGAGAATGAACATAGAAAGGTTGAATTCACCTAGGGTCTCCAGGAACTTCCCACACAGATCAAATCGGTTCCACTGGACATTTCTTTCTTTCTTTCTTTCTTTCTTTCTTTCTTTCTTTCTTTCTTTCTTTCTTTCTTTCTTTCTTTCTTTCTTT